TAATATTGAATGTAAATGCAGACCGAAGGATTTTTCGTTACTTGTTCACTAATGATGAAAGGAATCATTATGGAAAGATGAAATCTATTCATAGAAAGAGACACCAATGGCGTCTTACGCAGCTAACCTGCCGTGGACGGCTCCGCCGCACACTATTGTTCCACTATATAGTCCATACAGCGCCATGCGACCACGTATCCCAAAGAGCTGGTACCTACCTGTGCAATAGACTGGTCTTGATGCACTCGTTGTTTATCTAGACCACGGCACGGGCAATAGTCGCAATTGTTACTATTGCAACCGTTGTGATTTGATGATGCCAATCCCGTATTTGGTGGACAGGCAGTGGGGATAGTGTAAAAGAATAGCTTGGCTAAAATAATGGACGGAATAATGTACCTTGGTATTCAGCGCAAACTCTCGCAGTGGGTCATCGTTCTGTCTCTTTCACTGGTTATCAACAAAGTACTATGCGCAAGTGACCAGAGCCCTGCTTACAACAGGTTCGAATATTTTTCCCTGATATGATGATTGATCGTCGACGTCATGTGTATGGATGGGTATATTCCCAGCTAATCAAGGCGAGAGGCAGCAAAAGGTCAAATCCAATAGGAGGACTCTGGCTTCACTTTTTTGTGCTCGTAATAAAATGTAACCCCCGACAGCCCCGAGCACATAGGCTTGGTCCACTTTAAGCTTATTTGCACAGAAGAGCTAACCGCAATCATTCAGGGGGCCCTTGTTCCAGACCCAGATAATATACAGTGCAATACTATGTAGTCGTGTACCTCTCTCGCGGGGGCCATCGTCCATCCATTTTCATCCTCCCCCTCCACACGCACCACCCATCCCTCACTGACCAACACTCAAGTCTGGCACCCAACAGCAAAAGGACGCGCAGGTGCGGATATCCGCCGACAGGGATTGAATTTCCATCTGCCATTCCCCTGTCGGATTGAAAAAGCTTGGCAAACACGAGTCTTAGTGTCTTACGCAAACCCTGAGCCCCCAAGACCTGGGCAAGCTGGGCAGACGACCAGGAAGGGCCGTGGCAGGCTGGCCTTTTCTGGGGCCAATGTACATCTATCGATCCATCCCTGCCTTCTGTGCTGCGCTCATCACCTGTCGGTTGGTGATGCACCACGTTCTGCTATCCCATGTAGGCATCAAAACGGCCGATTATGTTTTCGATACTACTACGCAACCAGTACGGCATCTCCGCAATCAATGGCGATCGTCCATCGTCTGCCAAGGCATGAATCAGCTATACTTACTCCTCACTGCCTCCAATCAGTGGACGACGAAGTTTGCATACTCCACCAGCATGTTTGACGTGCTGGCTCGGCGTACCTTTGATTGCTCGGAGAAAGGAGGCGGATGAAGGATGGATGAAAGACATTGCACTCACACCCGCACACACACACACAGCACATGCGGCTACGCCATGTACTATCAAGATGACAAGGCCCCCAGTCAGGCCAAGCTTTCTTGGCGGTAGGGATTATAATCAAAAGTAGTATAGTCGAAAGCACATCAGCCCCGCCAACCCACTTCAATCCTTCCCTGGCTACACTCTAAATTGACATGCTGCCCAGGTGACGCGCGGCCTCATGCTCTCCATGGTCCACTCGTCTGCCCACAGTCCGGATGATGTTTGAGATTGGCAAGAGAAGGCTCCCAGTTGGTTCGACAATAACAACAAGCTTTTGTCCTGGAGAAAATCGGCAGAACCCCTCGGCAATCCGCCGCTTCGTTGTTGCTGATGGCTGGGAAAACTTAAAACTGCTACTACAATGCATCTGAGACCCTGACTTGCCTGACAGATAGGTGGTACGCTGCCGCTTTTGTAGACTGTGACATCGTTGAACCGCGCCATCGTCTAGCTAAATACGTACGATTAGACGAAGAGAACATCCACCGGACAAACCCACCATCTTCTGATTGATCCTTATCTGTGATTGGACCTTTCATACTCATCATATCTTCGTGTGTAGAATTATTCTCAAGAGGCTCGTCGGTTCCGGTTGTTCAAGGGAACGCTGCTCCGGTGGTGGCAGGCAGAGCGCTGATCTTTTGCCAAGCCGTTATAGGCAAGCCAACTCTATGCCACCCCTACCACCCCCAGGCTGACGCCATATCTAATTGTGACACACAAGACGACAGATAGCAGTAACAGGAGCACTTCTGTGCGTTGATGATATCGCTGATTCATCGTGAGCAGGATGCTGACTACGATGACAAACGAGCTCACAAGCACAAACAAGCGCAATTGACTTACGAAAGGCCAACGTGGCCTTACAAAGACGGTCAGCTTCCCCCGAGGGGAAAAAAAAAAAAAAAGCACTCGCCACTTTCGTTGCTTCCAGGTCCCATACGCATGTGGTACAGTCCAAGGTAGGAATATTCACAATTTACAGTTTTCCATGTCCTCGGCGCCAAGCAACGCTGGCCTCGTCCTGCCTTTTTGCTCGGTCTCGGTCCCGTACGGGCTTTTTGCCATGGTCCTTCCATTGCAACTCTCCCGGAGGATGCGCGCACCCACATTTCCGGGTCCTGGCCCGTAATCCTTCGCAGCCCTCACTTGTCCCAGTGAAGTAAATCCGTGGGGAGTACAGCTTATTTTGGCCTCCAATGAACCAACCAACAGGCTGAAAACAATAAACACCCCCCCTTTTCTTCCCGGCACGGGCATGATGACAAACAAGGTTGATCTGACACTTGGTCCAGAAAGCCCCGGCGTTTACGCCGCCAACAGGCATGGCCGATCTGCGCAGCACGTAAATAGTATTCACCATCCCCACCGAGGAGTCCGAGACTCAACATAGGATGATGAAGGAATCTACAGGTACAGTAATCCATATGATCTGGTCTCATTTCGTCTTGTCCCGAAACGGACCGTAAAAGGGCCACGAATGGGGGGGAAGGTCTGCCTACAAATGATGGGGGTTTCGGTGTGCTGGGCTGATCCCCTAAAGTTAGAGTTATCAAGAAGGTTAAGGTTGACCAGCCGTCTTAAATGAGCTTTTCTTGACTTCTTACCGTCACCGCGGCGAGCGCGGGAATCACTAGGTAGGCTCGGGGAAGCCTGTTCCTTGCTGCTGTGTAACATTCAAATGTCCGCCTGCGCCATACTCTAATTTTGATGAATTAATCATCTTCCTTGCAGTGCTCATATGGCGAAAACCCTCAACAGTCTACATCAATCATACTGCTTTATCGATGTGTGATTCTTACCAACTTTCTAGATTGATCTATATTCGTCGTTCTTGGAATGAATTATGCATGGCTTCCCTCGGACCGCCTAGGCAATGTAACTGAGTGTTCTTTATGAATGCTTCAATCTGGTGTAGAGTTGGAAATAGAGTGTTTCAATTGAAATAGTTCCCTTGTCAGCCTTACGAATTATTATTGAGGCCAATTCGGTTTTCTCACAAATGGAGAAATCTGAGAGTGGCAGGTTTGTTATGATGCTCTCAAATCTTCCAACTAGAATTAAATATCCCTTCATTATCATACATCTGCGTTCTTGTCCTCACTAGAGAATTTCAAGCCGTTATAGGGTAGATTCTTGATGATACGAAGCATACAATACAGTTGAGACATACCATGAGTTACGCAGGAGTCAGGCAGTATCAAAATACAGCAATGAATCTGTTGACCTTGTCGTTCTACTGCTTCGGACCGGGCATCTCAACATGCTCCTTTGTCAAATATGACGGAGACTTATTCCACTGAAGGCAGGTTAAAGATGATGGTGCCGGTTATTTAGGACATGACGCAAAATTCTGCAAAAACATCACTTATCGCGGAAAGAAAGCTACACAGCTAATGGCACAATCATTCATCTATAATACCAGTGTCTACGTCAGTGGTATTTTTCTGAGTGAGTTGGACAGCTCTTTAACGTCAGGATTCTGCAGCTCTCCAGGGCCTACCCATATTCTTTTCCAAATGCCATTTTCAACTTCAACTTACTTTCAATTCGAATAAATCATTGCGTGATCATCATACAGGGTTGGTCATTGGAAATTACCCCCGATTGCCAAGCAGACTATCACAGTCGGAGGATTCCTCCGAAGAGCTATGTGAAATCCAAAGTTCACATGACCAATTTACAACTTGAAGAGCGAGTCCCATCATGTATAGTCTCATATCAATGATATTTGCGGCGATTGTCCTGACAGAAAACAGTAAAACTACCATGCGGCCCCAATGTAAAGCTGGGCATACTAACTTTGAAAGAAATAAAGGCATGTGATTGTGTAATCATATCATCTCTTGAACTCCCTGTACGATATGTCAAATAATCACTTGGTTCCATTTTCATGAGATAACAAGCCTGCCGTAGCCAAGCGAGTATTACAAGGTTGACGCGATGACTGGGTAAGAGTGCAGTCTATCATTCGCAATGCGATAAATATTCTGTGGCCTTCAGGTCTCATACTGGATTACGCGAGACGTCATGCTGCAACACAGCCGGAGTTGCCTGAACACAAGATGCTGGACAACATTTAAAGATGCAAAAGGCCCATCCGTACAATGTTGGGGTATCTACATATCTAGTCTCTGCCTACCAAATCGTACAATGCTCGGGGAAAGCCCACGAGCTTTATCTTACACGGCATGACTTGCCGACGGGGGTATCACTTCTGCATTCGGGCTTTTAAACTCGTACAACCTTCCCAAAGTGGTCACGAGGGATCGGGGATACGCAAACACGGCCCAAATCGAGTTGCCAGCACTGAGGCCATTCCCTTTTCAGGGTCTCGGGATACTCATCAAGTCCTCCGCCTGCAATGTTGCAAAGGGACAATGCAGGGTGTTCTTTGCAATTCCATGGCACTCTGCATATTTGCGTAACCTAGAGCAGCCCGGCAGATACCAGTTGAAACAACATCGGGAAGGCCGAGTCGTATCCTGGTAGCACAAAGACATGACCCTCCGTCCTAGAGCAGAAAGCGTTGACGAACATGACCTGATTCGAGCGATGCCAAGGATAATTAGCAATCACATCTGCCGTACCATCGAGGGAAGGCTGTGGTATCTCTGATGGTCTGAACGCCAGAAAGGTAGCAAATCAAGCGGTCAAAACCTAGGCCGAAACCGCCATGCGGTGGGCAACCCCAGCGTCGTAGGTCCAGATACCAGTCGAGATTATTGCCTACCGTCTTTTTAGAACCAGTGGCGTCGGGACTTTGCTCAGAGGTCGTGTCGAGGCCATTGAGCTTCATCGATTCCAGCAGATTATCGAGACGGTGCTCACGCATGGATCCTCCAACAATCTCGCAGAAATCGGGAACGAGGAGATCAAAGCACTCCACAGTCTCACCAGGGGTCGCCTTCCCGAGATCATTTGCGGCTGCCTTCATGTAGAAAGCTTTGAAGCTCCGAGGGTAATGAGTGACAAAGACGGGTGTTTCCCCATTGCCAATGTGTGCTGCAAGGTATCGTTCATGCTCGGTGCGAAGGTCTTGCCCCCAAACCGGTTTAACCTCGAACGACTCGTTTGAGGCCTTGAGGGCGTCGATCGCATCCGTGTAGGTAATACGAGGCCAAGCTTCCTGCGCCATGAGACCACGCCAACGCCGCTCAACCTGGTCCGTAGGAACCATGTCGGATGATGACTTTGCAGACCTGCTAGACATTTCCTTGACAGTTCTAGTATCATGTAATTCAATGGCAACGTGCTTTAGCATGTCCTCCACGAGACTCATAATGGACTCCATATCATCCGTGAAGCTCATCTCGGCCTCCAGCATGTAGAACTCGCTGAGGTGGCGCGGAGTGTCGCTCTGCTCAGCACGAAAGGTGGGAGATAATGTCCAGACATTTCCCAGAGCCTGGGCTAGAGCTTCAAGATGTAGTTGTGCTGAGACCGTGGTGTAGACAGGGCGGCGAAAGAAAGATTTGGCTGTTTCACCGTCAGGGCGCGGGCTCTCATCGACGGTAGAGACACCGAATACTTCTCCAGCACCCTCGCAATCAGACGCGGTAAGTATTGGAGTGTGAGTTTGCACAAACTGACGACTCTCAAAGAAGCGAGTCAGAGAAGAAATGACTTCTGATCGAAAACGCAGCAGTGTAGAGTTGAACGGTATCCTGGGCCTCAAGTGAGGCAATGAGCGCAGAAACTCGGGACTCTGATACTTTTTCTGCAAAGGGAATGTCTAATGACATGTCAGTCTGAAATGGCCAGGCGCAAGATTCGTGCTAGAAGAGGTAGATACCTTGGCATCCGAAGCCCCGAGCACAGTCGCCTTCTGGACTCGCAGCTCATGACTCTGTCCTGATCCGCGAGAGGCGACCCAATACCCGTGCAAACGAACGGCAGCTCCTGTTGTCAGACTAGATGAATAAAATTAGTTCATATTGGACCATATCAGAGTGGATTTGTGGTCTAATTTGTCCCACCCTTCAGCTTGTTCAGCAGGAACCACTGCCTGTAATGAGTCGATTGATGAACCATCTCCCAGGGACACGAAATGGTGGTGCTTCTGGGCTCTCACGGAGCGGATGTATCCGTCGATCTCAATGCCCTTGGTTGGCATCGAAGGTTTCCATTGCAAATACTCAGCTACTGTCTTGGGTAGCGTCGATTTATGAGCTCTGGTGCCCTGCCAGCGTACCCGCAGCGCATGGCTGAATAGGGGTCGTCGAGTGGCGGGGCTGAGGATTGACATGGCGCCAGCAGGGAATGAGTGGTACTCATGCACTCCAACCACAGAAAATCAAGTCAAGCTTCAGTACATGACGAGGCGCTCACGAGAAATTTGTGGTTGGCTGGCGCGAATCACTGACTTTGTCATGGATTCTGGTGTTTTGCGTTGCCAGCTGGTACGTACTGCGAGCTATCGTAGATCTTCGTGTGGATTAAGTGTTGAGCCGGCACCGGCCAAGAGCTTGGGCCAAGTTAAGCAGTCGTGTCTTATCTCGATTCCCCAAGCGTCTTTTTTATAATTTAGAAATTTTAAAGCTATGATATTTTAAAGGTTATTTTAAAAACTTATATAATTTAACATTTATATAATAATTTATAATATATTATATAAATTATTAAATTTATAATTTTAAAATTTTTATAAATAAATTTATTTATAAATATTTTTATTAATCATGTTTTTTATTTAATCTTTAAACATAAGATAACTTTGCGTTATTTATATAAGCAAAAAAAGAAAGCCGGCCTCCGGATTAAGCATTATGCTTCCGCGGCTCGATAAATGCCTGTCACGTAAATGCAACCCGCTTCAAACGAGCAAAGGATCACAGTGTGTATACTCTGAACCCTTAGTACGTTTGTTAGAATTGGCATGCCTGGATGGGAATCCATTTGTCCCCTAGTTCTTTGCACCGATCCACAGCCTTACTGCACCTTGCATTCTCCTTCTTTTGCTCCCTTGCTCCCCATTCCCGCCCCGCACATGGTCCTGACTTCTGCCCAATGATGAATTGTTCTGGGTGCTATCTACACTATGTACAGATACTATTGAAGCTCCAACTGCCAGATTGCCGGGACATGCCTGTACGTAGTATGCGGGTGATTCCTGCCCACGATGCAATCTCCATACGCACTAGCACCAAGGACGTTAATATGGGCGTCTACCGGCGGACTCCTTTGGCCAATTTGTTTTCGTTCTAGCTGCGCTTCTCTAATTCGCCCGCGGATGCGGTACGTAGTAATAGTATGGGTAATAGCAAGTATTCTTTAAGAATATGACCAACTTGATCAGTGCAGAATGTGGATCCTCTTAGATCATGATTCGGCACGCAAGTATATTACCGGTTCGCCCGTATGGAGGCTGTGATGGATCAAACATTGCTTCCCTTGTGCCTCTGCATCCCTACAGCACCCCCAAAAAAGACCACAGAGATCCATATGTCTTGTTAAAACCTCATCCGCACGGTACATCTCCGCGTCATACAAGATCGATGGGTAGGACAGAGATCTGTCCACAGGTAGCCGATTCCACGCTCCTGGGAAACAAGCACGTTACACTATGCGGACGGGTATTTTTCTGAACACAATATGAACAAGGCGGATTCTGCGAAACGCAGTCACGTCTATATACAGCCTTCATTATCCTCACTTATTTCTTCCGTCATTTTCATCTGGATGTTTTAGACAGGCCAAGTCGTTTTCAATATATTTGTCTCGCGTTGCAAGATACATGGTTGAGGGTCGATGACTACTTCCCAGCCAGTGGCCGAGGAGACTCACCATGTATCATTGGCTGCTCATGAGGCTGCTTCTGGAAACTTGCTATAAATAAAGCATTTTTCTCGAGTATTCTGCCAAATGCCCTTATTCCTCGACGGCATGACATCACGGGGGTACAGTACCTTGGCAAAGAGTAACCGTCGTCTAATTTTATCTCCATTTTGTGATTTAAAGTCGCTTCTTTTCCCCTTTCGTGATACAACCATCACCTCACCATGCCACCAGCCCGGCCCAAGCCAAGCGACGTCGCTGCCGAAACGAAGAAGAACGAGATTCCTGCAATCAAGTCGCAATACTCACATGTATGGCCGTGCCATTCATATCTCTGGCACTCGCCAGCTACCCAGATTCAACTACAGCGGGAGCTCAACCAAAGCCTACTGCCGCCGTCGTTCTGTGTGTCTAGCATCCTCTGGCTGCTGCCCTTTATGCTGGCATCTGTTTACTGATTCAATGCAGCTGTTCATCATGCCGATCCAGTGGATTTCGCTATTGAATGGGAAAGGAGCCATAAGGCAGCAGGGAACGAGACCCGTGTACCCTTTATTTGCGCAGCAAATGACAGAAGACCAGGGTGCGGAATCTCTTCAACGTCTATTAAAAGGGAGCGCAACAGAAGAAGAGGAAGCTAACATTCATGAATCAGTGGTGATTGGGAGACTGGTGTTATTGGTGCGCTGGATGCATCCCATAATATATTATATCGAATTACTAACTGAGGCTAGGCTACGAAGAACGATTGTGCCGTCGCAGCAACTTGTCGGCCACTCTTGCTACGCCAGGACCCGGCTCGACAGTCGCGTCAAACTATCCAATCCCCAGCGAGGGCGGGATCTACTCTCAGTTTGTCGTTGTGTTCCGTGGGCCCCACGATGCTTACGAGAAGCTGCCGCAATGGGCCAGCCTGCCAGTCATTTCTATTCCTGCCGCACGCTGGCCAAAGCTTAGTCACGGAGGGACCAAGTATGCCTTTCCACTGGAGAGGGAAATGGTGATGAATAAGATTCGCGCCGGCCTGCTCATCTGTGCAGGCCAAGGCTTCAGCCAGGTGGTGATTATGGACTTTGGCCTGGGCAACAGCAACCGCAATCCACCGCAGGAAATTGCCGAGATGTGGAGGGAGGTCTTCATGTGGGACCCCGAAATACGTGGCCACTTCTCGCACGTGGCATTCGTCTTTGAAGACCCTTACCAGAGCACGACAAAGCTCATTCTGGACGACATTGCTAAGAAGAGCAAAGGTGGATCTAGTTCCAAGAAGTCGAAATCCTCATCTAGCTCCAGCTCCAGCTCCAGCACGCACTCGTCGCCTAGCGACTACGATATCTTTGCAAACGTCTTCTGCTCGCAAGCAATTCAACAAGAAGTGGCTCGCATCGATCCTCGCTTCTCTCTCTCAACACTTACATCTTGATACGGTGGATTCAATATTAGGAGTTACTGTTTGCAAGTCATCTAGCCGGTGGCTATGTTGAGGCGGCGTTCCGGGTTTGCAGGTTTTCCAAGGTGATTATTCGCCTCTGTATTCTGTCAATTGTAAGTTGTATCAACCCCGTATTTCATCGTTTTACAATACGGGTGCCAATTAGGGATATATTAGGGATATATAGGCAGTGGCATGCAACAGACACTAATAAAGTAATTATCTAAATGCCAACTCTGTTGCTGGGATCCGATTCAAGAGGACTCGGCTCAGCGTATATTGGTCATGATGTATGGATACCTACTGCAATCAATGGGGCTTTTTATCGGACTATCACCTCAAGCTTTGATATATAAACCCGACCATACTTTTGTGCTTATCAGAGTCTAATCCCCTAAAGATATGATGTCTACTATTATTATTCATGTCGAACCTTGTATAAAAACTTTATACCATGCTTGAAGAACACCGACCATTTCCCATTTGACACAAAGTTGGGACGAGTCGAATGGGTCAGCCAAGGTAACTGTTCATCGGTACCGAGCCTGCCAAAGTCTGGAGCTTGTGATGACCCGTTTGGCTTATGCATGCCAGCACACTCAATTTTGTGCGGGTCCACGATAGTGGATGGTGGTTACACACTGCCTTATCCAGAGTCTCGAGTCAAGCATTTATTCAAGTCTCAATGGTCTTGGCACATTTATGGTCTGGTAGGTCCCAGTAAGTTACCGAGATGGATATCCACAAGTAATTGTGAATGATCGACCATTCACTAGCACGAGTCATATGCAATTTGGAGGTGGGAAGACAGCAAAAACAAGGTTTCTCAGGTTGCCAGGATGGGAAGCACGGGGGTCAACCCGAAGCGGCACATCCCTCCCGTCAGTTTCCCGTGAGATTTCTGGGCATGGGGTATCGAGACTTCGATACGTACATAATGAAGGTTGGTTGCACGCAGAGCTCGGGTCTGAGCAAAAGCCCCTCTCCTCCGAAACATGATATTCTACGGCGTTTCTCCAGCATTAGCTTCACTCGTTGGGAAAGAGATTCGCCAAAAAAACACGGACTTCACGCGTCGTGGACAATGTTCAATCATCAGACTTCTACATATATACATACGTACATAATCTCAGTGTGACATGGCACTGCAGTGTAACGGCTTTCTTGCAGATTATCCGCCGGTCGAATCACCCTGAAGAAATCGACAGCAGAACTTCGAGCCCGCACTCAACTTCTTCGCCAACGCAACGACACGCGAGATACCACAATGAAAGAAGGAAAACTATCATCGAATGAGAAGCAAGACCGGTTTCAACTATCAGGTGCCCGCCTCGATCTGCAAGCCAAGCGCTTCAAGCGGTTGCGTGCAGCCAAGATACACCCTTTACGATCAATCTGCAGTGGGCCGCAGATCCAATCTCATTGAGTGATGGGCCATCTTCAGGTCTCTAGGGCACTGCAAGTTGCCTCTTCTGTCCCATCCTGATACACAGATCCTGCAATCGTTGTGTCGAGCTGCAGAATAGACACCCCATCGGAGCACACCAAGTTTGTACCGCGAGCGACGACGGACCAGTATCGATTCAGCGCAACCCATCACCGCCATTTGAACGACGCGAGACATCGGCCGAATACCCCGTGATTCATATCCAAGAGGCTCTATGGAGTGATTGATAGATCAAAAGTGCTCATGATGGTCGTTGACTGTCTTGGATCGCAATATCTGCTTGCCCTTGGGTTTCTCCACACCGGAAATTTCTGACAGAAGCTATATGACAGCCGGCTGACATCTTACACGTCAATTTTTTGGCACAAAGTCCGATCCCAACGTTGCCCCTCTTAGTCAATCGCTCGAGCGCGGCAAGCGAATCGAAACGGCCACAAACTCGAATCAAATTAGCCATGCTGCGCCCGTGCGCATTGACAGCTTGGAAAGAGGAGGTTGCGTCCAAGCTCGCTACGGCCGAGGTGCATAGCTTGAGGATCAGACGAACACCCAGCCTCTGGCTACAACGTCACACACAGCGCTGCGTGTCTCGGGCTCGTATAGATTCTACCATTTCCCCCAAGATACACCGCATTGACTCTCGAGGCGGAGCCCTATCTGCCTGTTACAAGGTAAGGACTTGATCAAGTCGTGCAACGAAAAGAAACGTGGAATAGATTGGCATTGAATAGGCCGCAAATCACGTAAAAAGGCTGAGACCGTTGTAGCGGTCTGACTGTGAGAGGTCAACCTCACGTAAGGCTATTGGGCCGCGAACCCATCGTAGTGACAAGTCTTTTTTTCAAGAATCCGGAATTTCTGGACTAGCATGCATCCTCATTCGTGCTCGTACGTACAGAATAAGCTTGATCATTCAACATCCATGTATCTTGATTCGCAGCTGTCCCGTAGGGGCTTCCTGCAGACCACTTCTTATCATGCAAAGCCGACAAAGGCACACTCTGGCATGCTTCTAGAATCTGCGTATTCGTATGAGATGTACATTGCATCCTGTTACAATGGATTGCCGCAATAGGAATGACAGCAAATGATTCGCAGCGTTGCTGGCCCGTAGTACACAACCCTTGACAGCACGGCTGCAGAATCGCTATCTACATTGTTGTTGGACGAAGCGAATGCACTGTACTTGGTGGTCTTGGTCTTTGTTCAGATTTGGTTGTTTTGGCGATAACATCTTTCGTGTATTCAGGCACCAGGATGCCCTTCTTGCTCACTAAAATAGCACCCGGTGGCTAGAATTCTGACGGATACAGAAATTAACTGTGTAGTTATCCGGATATCCGTCTCTTTACCTTTGAAACTGCCACAAGGACACAAATGGTGTTGCGACGATGCTTAGATTTCTTAATTGATGTCCAAACCATTAATTTACTATGGATAGCACGTGGAGACTGAATAAGGATGATTTTGTCGTTGGAAGTCACCCTATCTGTAGAATTAATCGTTTTATCGCGGGATCAGAAATCTTGAAAGCACCTCTGCCGGACTCTCACCCAATGTGGGGAGAGCAAAAAATTAAACATACGGGTGCGAGCTGGTTTGTCCCTTTCACGATATAATGTTTGTATTCATAGGGAATATTCATGTAGAAGAATCCAACAATGATCAGCATAACACGAGTACGGTCCGAGCCTGATCATTGAGGCTCTTGCGACTGTTCGTTGAGTTGACGGTATGAGTCTTCCGCCAGCATAGTTATTATTGTCGATCCTCCCTAATATGAGGCTGGCTAGGTTGTAATGACCACTGCCCCGTCACTCGCTAAGCCTTGACCGAAGCTTGTGGTTTCATCAACTAGAGTTGTTCCCAATAGGTATTTCTCCTGACTCCAAGCAGAACTCGAATGCAAATATTGTTGATCATACGTGCTTATCGCACTTCACTTGCTTCAACGGACAAGGAGACTCGACATCATTCAGGTGAAAACGTCCAGCCACGCGGTCTCGTCGCATAGGTTGCTCATCATGCGGTACGACCGTTCCACTACGTGACGAATCGTTCTAGCGAAGGAGCACTGGATATGCTGAGCGACCACTACAAAGCCCCGTAGTTGGAAATATGCTGTCTTATGCTGTGCCAGCTGTCACATCAAGCTTTGTGGGTAAACGAAAAAGTTGATGATATGGTTGGTAGCTAGCCCGTACAGTGTATTCTTCTGTGAATGACTTGGGGATAACACGCGTCCATCCATGCTGGCATACATTACCATCTTGTCAAGAGTATGTGCCAAGAAATAAAATTAACCAAGAAGATGGCAAGGACTTCTAGGTGCTATCTGAATGCAAGCAATAGTGTGGCTATCTACGATTGTGCTCGATAGAGATCCTCAGTTACCTGCACGCTGGTTGCTGGCAATCACAGCATGTCACACCCTCAGCGCTTGAGTTGGGTCTCACCGGTGTCGAGGAGACGGTACATTGGCCGAGGTACCAGAAAACTGTAGTTTCGATCTATCCATGAACCCTTCTGCCACCGCTGAGAGAATTCTTGACCGGTCTCTTTTTCTTCAACCGATGTAATGCCTGAATTGTCAACTCCTTGGTCCTTAGGGGAACGTGGCCAGCTGACAATGGTTGAAGATAGGACTTCAGGTCTACAAAGAAGATGCTGCAGAACCGAATCTGCAACTTGCACTCCTCATCTATCTCTCAGTGTTTATGTTGGTATCCAAAATCATACCATATTCCCGTTTGCATCTGTAGCCAAGACAGACAATGTACACCAAGTAGGCCGTACTCATTGAAGACTGATGCTAATGCTGGTGGTAGATCTATTCCACGATTGAGTAGTTCCCGGATGATAAATGTCTATCGATGGCAAAACATATTGGCAAAATGTCACAACGATAAATACTTGATCAGAATGATATCTAATACTATGTGCCATCAAATATCAACGGCAATGGATGTTTTTAGAAATCTGGTCCATCGAATCTGATTTCCTTTGCTATATAATCATTGGGCAAGGCATACTCCTCCCCAAGTTGAAGGGGGGTTCAGGGGGCGTTTCCCCAAGTAAACCGCCGTGTTGCTCGGCCAAAGGCTAAAAGCACAACGATTGAGTCCCTCGAAAGAAATGCAACTAACAAAAATACTACAGGGTCGAATGCAAGTAAAACGATATTAGGCAAGCTTAGCGACTGCCGGACCGGGACGCCTCAACGGGATCTTGATGGCAGATGCGGGTCTGTTTGTAACCCCCCAACCCTGCCTGACAGCCTGCGTGAAGAGATCTTGAGAAGGATGGGCCCTGTTACTATCAGTATGGGTGTTTATGGCTGTTGGCTTCAGCAATGTTCACCCAGTTCAGATCTTGGTGGCTGAGAAAGGCCCCCTGAACTGACGGCTCGAGACCAATGACTCGAGGCTAATTGCCCGCCAGGCGGCAGATGAAAGAGACTAAACGAGACACTTGTTGATGTCGAGTCCTGGTCAAACGTAACCAGGATCCTCGAGCGTGAATGTTGTTAGGACCATCGAGATTCTGAATACTGCATCCCGAGCTGTCAAAGTTTTAAGAGCCTTGCTCTTTTCGTACGAGCAACTGCAGACAGGTATCTAGGCAAGATGACAGATATGGCGGGCTAGAGTACTCCGCACCGGTGTTGATTGGAGACGCTCGTCATCGTGTTTGTCGGCAGCATTTCTCCTCATGGACTAGAATCCAGACATGTAATTATTCCCGTCAGTATCAACATGCGTCCTGGTCCGGAACAGATTTCCGGCGCGTAGGGAAGGTCCAAAGGATACTTTCTTTCGTAGTATTTTCGGCGTTGATGACCCTCCAAGTGTGCCGCACTGTACGTGGAAAACACACCGGTCTGAACGAGGCCCTTTGTAACCATTTCTGCCATGGTTCTTGAAGCAGGGCACTCCTTGCGATTTTGGCCTCGTGGTGGAGTCGTCGAGACCCAGAGCAATGAAATCAGGATGATGCAAACCGCTGCCAAGCTGGCCGCACAGCGAGTCTACAGGTGTACGAATGGACGAACATGGACATAGATCCGAGGGTTCAGGAGCGGAAGATTTCAGGCGGCACAATGCTCGTACGTGATCAATTGTTGGTGGGAAAGATGTGATGTAAAAGAGTCAAGCTGAACAATCACTTCTTTCTTGAAATCACTGTGGAGCTAGTTAGTCGTCGCAATAGTCTCGATTCACGATCCCCAGATCCCGGATCCATGGAGACAGCTCTGCGCACTCCACATAATGACCTCGTCTTTACGAAGACCCGTAGAAACGGAGTTTCCTAGGTAGGCTGGTGTTGGTATTTGTGGCTGGCCACTGGACTCTGGTGCCCCTGCTCAGCGTTACGAGGAGCACTCGTGGAACTCTTTGCATATCCAATTAGACAAACATGGCTTTCCCTACTCCTGGTAGTGTCCGGGATATGGACCTGGCGCGTAATTGGCGATCCGGCAGCTGGCTCGGTTCCTATTGGGTTTGCTCACGGACAATGCTCCGGAACTGCAGGATGAGACTTCCGCTCACGTCAAGTATCAATGCGGGTTGGTACCTCTTGACTTTGGAACCAACATCCAGCAAGCATCCCGAAGTGGATCAATTCCTCAAAGTATGAGACTCATAACCTTGACTGATGATCGTGCGATATACTAACCAACTGTGTCGAGTGCCGAGGTTATTCGCCTTGTGATCAACTACCCATACGACAGAGCTTCATGGCATCGTGGAAAGCCATCAATGGCCCCAGCCTTTGCCCCATATGAGACTAAGGGACGACATCCACTGGGAAGGCGCTCGAGGGTAAGTCCAGGTGCAGAATCTCTCAGAGATTCCACGATATGCGAGTCTTGTAGCCACATGATTGAATTACCACCAGTTGATAGGCATTTAGAAATTCTCTGAAACCATACGGACGAGGTATGAGCTTCTCTAATGCTCACACACGGATGCTTTGGTCAAGCCGCAAGATATTGCCGTGAATTGTCCATGTCTTTGCCTCCTATGGTACTTCTTGGCCGTAATGGATATATGAATGACTGGGATTTGCTACGAACAGATTCGACATGGCAATATTGGTTGGGGGCTATAACACCCAAAACACTCGATTCAAGACAGACCACGATTCCCCCAACCCCAAAATCTTCTTCCTAGTACCGAAGTGCTTTCCGCTCAGCATATATGCAATTCCTTTTTACGAATAACTCTCTTGAATCATCTATCACAAGTGTCAGTCATCCTGATGTCTTTGAATGGATATGATTTGTTGGATCGCAACTGCCGATGAGAAACATGAAATCTCGGGCCACCCGCCATGCATCATCCCTGAACACGAGGCGGCCCGAACATAATTTTAAGCCTCAATCACGAGGAGCCATGTACGGGATGTTACCTCGGAAAGCCCTATCTGATCATTGTAGACTCAAGAAATATTGAGACATTCACCGGGTAAACGTTATCGTGACGAGCCATGACGAGCAGCAAGCAAGAAGCCAATTCGTGTGCAGGGCATTAAAGAACCACTTCAGTCAATGCACAGAAGCAGCAACTCATAATAGGCTTGATTTTGCCAGCCAAGGACTTCCCAATGTACTATCCAGAGCTTGCTCACGATGCCTTTGCCTACTCCTACTAATGAGGCATTAGGTCCAAGGCTAGTTCAGTAGCTTTTGCTTTTTGTGCGGTGGATGCTTGAAGGTTCTTCCCGCCCGAGTCAAATATAATATCCCCTAACCTTAATACTGCTGGGCTGAATGTCGGCATTTGTTCTTTGTCGTCTCGTGGCCAATGTTTCAAAGGGGAGCGAATACTGATACACAAGGGATGTATAGATACGAACATGCCGAAGCTTGGCACGGTCGAAACATCGCAGAATAATGCAAGTTTGGAAGATCATTAGCGTCGTAATCATCATCGGGTTTATTCATTGGCTTGAAAACAGGGCCATCTTGCCCTGTGCTATTTGATTTAGCTCTAGTGATCCGCTTCGGCTTTGAAACCTTGAGATGAACCATGGACGGTGGAATCTCTGAACTTCATTACTCGTAGAGGGCATCATAACCCACTCAAGTCGGAGTGTTCAACTTTTGTTTACCAGTAGGCCGGCCGAAGTCCGCTGAAGTTGCCTAGAGTACTGGAGAGGTTCTCGTCACCATCCTTTTTCCGATGACCGGCAAGCTGATCCAAGTTCCAAGTCAGCATTTCCCTTATGTTAAAGTACACAAGACTATATTGGCCAAACGACAGACGATAGATTGAGACTTACCTCAAGTTGCACACCCTTGTGTAACGATACCAGCCAGTCAACATAGCTTTGAGCCTCATTGTTTCGATCCTCAACCAGCATTCTCGCAAATTCGAACTCGGCTCCGTCAATACCTTGCCGAGCAAGCTGGATGGTCAGAGCCTTGGAGCCACGTAGAGTCTTCAGGAACTCGATTATGTTTCGGACTTGAGCATTTAAATGCGTATCGAGATGCGGCAAGCTTGAGCTATACGGGTCCAGCGCCTTGAGACTATCCTTCCCTTCTCCAAAGAGATCAGACAAGAGGTTGGGTGATGTTTGGCTGTGGAACCAGATGAGACATTGCTGGCCATTGTCGACAAGGTAGACACCACCCGGCTCAATGCGTGAAAATGACGCACGAAGACTTGGTGGCACCTTGAGGTGGCCATTCTCGTCTGGAAATCCATCCTCGGCAGTGAGATTGTGTATCGGGATCATGCGTGGGTATAGGTAGACACTTAACTCCCCAGCGCCCATGGATCTGACCATGCGCATCTCATGTATTCTGCGATCCGAGCTCTCATTCCCGCCCTTGAATGCACGGCATTTCAGGAGACCGAGCATGTACATGGAAAATTCTTTGAGTCTCTCGGGCATGATCAACTGGCCAGGGGGATGTGACGATGTTGTCAAATTCTTCCTGTAATTGGCGAGCACATCAATGGTTCTCTCCGTGAGGTGCTGCCGGGTCTCCTTTAGTGTTGCCGAGGTCGTTGCAAGCTTGGTGGCGGCTTCCTTGGCCAAAATCGATACAACGGCATCTTGATCAATCATCTTGACGCATTCTCGAGTCACCTCGCTGACACTGGCGATAATGTTGCAGCACCGCACGCGCCGTTGACCCGAGGCTGTCGTGTACAGAAGTGCTGACTGGAAGTGTGCGTCTAGCTTGGCGTCTAGCTTGCCATCATAGCCGAAAGTCACTCCAATCGCCTTGTCGGCATCAATGACTCCGATTTCGAGATCTGCACCAAAGGTGTGTTGCTGCAGATTGTAAAGTCAGTATCCAACTATGCATAGATTGTCTAGCCGCACTTACGAGGAAAGAACCATGATAATCCTTGATCTGGAGACCATTGGAGCACCGCACCTTCATCAGTGCTTGGTAGCCAGTCTCCCTGGTCACCGTGTGCGTGATCTCAAGCGAGAGTTTGGCATTGTCTCGACCAGCCACGAAGTTGGGATAGTAGAAAGTCTCTCCGCCAGTCAAAGAAGCGACATGTCCAATAGTGGCAATGTCCAAATAACCACCGGATGGTGCAGCCAGGAAGAAGTCGACTCCAATTCCCGAAGCAACCATTTTCTCAGCCGTTTTCTTCCAGCCAGGATGCTCAGCCGTGTAGAGCTTCTTGTCCAGCTCTCCACCCGGGTGCTTGCCGTCGTCTCTCATGAAGAGTCGGCCGGGACCCCATGTCGGAAGTGCGGATAAAGAGCAGACAACCTTGCCGCCAGTCTTGTCGAGAGCAGCAATGGCCGAGTTGAGCGTAGGCAGTAGAGCGGGCTCTGGGTTCTTTACGCTCGAAAACAATGTAGGTAATCTGGTCAGCAAGGATGTGATGACGGCCCTTGATTCCACGGGATCAACGAAAAGACCATCGCTGAGGGGCACAAAAGGGTCTTCCACATCTGGCATGACCATCATCTGAGGTTGTTCTAGCGATGCCTGTTGATTGATCAGTGACTGCCCTGTCAACAATGCACAGCAAAACTTACGTGGCAACTGTAGAAGTGTATTTCCTTGTCATATGTCAGGAAGCCCACTTTGGCACCCTGGGGCAGCCTCCGCTTCGGTTCTCCATTTTCGTCCACTTCGTCTTCAGCTGAATATAGTGCGGAAAGGATTCCATCACAGAAAGCCTCAAGGAAGCCCTTGTTGAAGGCTTCTTGAGTAACATCGATCAAGAAGAGCCAATTGAGACCAACGGGCTCCTTGGTCCAGTACTCTTTTGGAACTGTGAACTCGACTGTGCCGCGGCACAATTCGGGACGCTGGTCTCTGTCCACTCTTACACCCTGGGGTGTTGTCGCACAGAAGTATTCTGATGGTGTATCGTTGGGATAAGTGCAAAGGTTGCACACGAACTTTCCACCACCGTTTCTAAACACCATGAAAGGATTAATCTGTTGAATTCGTTGTTAGTCTTCATCATATCTGTACGTAGGCTGGTATGTTGGTGCTCAAAATGTGGGGTCGCCTCTGATGTAGTCAAAATAGCCAAGCATAAACCCTTTCGCGAGCTACTTTTGGGAATGTTTTACAAGTTGCGACAAAGAGAGGACTCACGCTACAGTATCAGATTAGCATTGATCCAAACAAAGACCGAGAAGCCATCCCCAACGTAGTGATCTACCGACACTGGCTCAAGATCTGGCAGAAAGCCCAACCCAATCTTGAAGGAGAATTATACTTACTAGGCTCTACATCTTCTGCACCTTGGCGGGCCAACATCACCAAAGTCTAACACGGGGACTTCAAGTTCGCCCGGTTGAAGCTTGGCCAAAGGCTGGACAAGTAGACCCATGGGCAGGCCAGTGCTTTTCAATCCTTCTGCCGTCGCAGGGATATTGTTCATGGTCAACCTAGTGAATTGTGGTGCAGAATTGCCCTGATCGTAGGAGACAAATGATGTCGCGGCGGGAGGCGGCACGTGACGCTCGAACGTGGGATACGTGTTGTTCAGGTAGAACTGCTGGGGGACGTCTCGCGAGACCGGGACACTGGGGATATCGTCAGGCGATACCTGACCAGCGGCAGATGCTGGCACGAATGCAGACTGAGGACCGGCGTCAGCAGCTCCATTCCTGGCAGCGAATTCGGCGGGAGAGGCTAGCGCAGGGTTGAATGGCTGGTTTGCGGGCGCTGGGAATTGGTTGCCGAACTGGCTTGGAGTGCCTGGCTGTCCGAGGAACTGGCCACCTGCTTGAACTGACGGATCGGCATTGAGAAATGCAGTTTGCGACGTGCCAGCAGGCGGTATGCCATTGAATGGCTGCGAAGAGCCAGCGGGGGCTTCAACACTGTGGAAAGCATGTCTGTCCTTCTTCTTCTTCCTTGCCCCGTGCTGCGCTGCGTCCGCAATGCCCAGACCAGCCATCTGAGAAGTCAGATCCGCCTGTCCAGCGTATTGGTCTTGACCCTGAGGCGGTCCGTATCCTGGTGCGCTGGCCGGAGAAGGAGCACCATAGTATTGCTGCTGGGCCTGAGGTGCAGGCGATCCAAATTGTTGCTGATATTGCTGCTGGGCGACATTTGGTGCAAATTGAGGTGGCGCGGGCTGACTTGTTCTGTTCGGGTCGTTGGGATCGAGCTGCTCGCCTTGACCAAGCGAGTGGTACATGCTGTAGTCGGCCATTTTCGTTTCAATCGAGGAGTGCTACCGGGAAATCGTTCGTCGTAACGTAGAAGCGCAAGGTTTGTGTGACATAGGAAACGCTTCGAGGGACGGTCAAGCAAGGGAATAGACCATGGTGTGTAATGAAGCTGTCAGGTGCGAGTTGTGGTGGAAACAAAGTGGCATGCGTTTACGCTGCTACACTTGAGGCGTGAATAATGGTGGCGTTGGGTTGGTCGATCATGAAATCTGTCGTTCTAGGAGCTCCTACGCTGTGACGGGGACAGGGGGGTCTTGGCCCAAATAGCTCAAACTGTCCATGGCATTCTTGTTATCAGCCTATGAAAATGTTCTGGCCCAGCAGCGAACCCCTAAAAGGCCACCGTTGCTGCAGGGGAATACTGGCAGTTCGATCCGAGTTGTTTTTCCAGCGCCGGCACCTAGGTGACTTCCAGGTTGTATTTGAGCTTGTTCTTGATGGTCTACAGGGGTCCCTCAATGGGTATAGCGAGGATCTGACGCTAGAAAACTCACAGAATTTAGAGCACGAGCCTTGCATTCACAGCCTAAACGCGAGGTAGGTACCTGCCGATTACGCGCCTAACGCAGTAGCTGGCCGGCGCCCGCAGCTTAAGCTGATTTGAAGCTTCGTGCGTCAACCTCTCGAGGCTGGACCAAAATTCCAACCAAAGCACAAGGCAATTTGTCGCAACACAGATAGTCACTGCGCCAAACCTCACGACAGCAGAGCCAGTCCATTTGGATGTTTTGCATGATCTGAATTCTGCCTTCTACTGAATGCATTATTGAATTGATGCCAGTGGCGCGTGCCACTGCTGCGTCTCTTTCACGCATCCCAATCTATCGTCGGTGCTGCGTCATCTGAGGTTTCCATTGTCTTTGTAATTCGGGTTACCATCTACACAGCAACGATCTCCTTGCAGTTGCGCCTCGGCACTTCCTCCTCGCTATCACCATGTTCACCTTTACTCCGCTACAGGGCGCCAAGTCGGACTCCACGGCAGTTCAGTCCATCCTCGAGCTCGATGGCGGCGTAAAGGTACTCGTCGATGTCGGCTGGGACGAGACATTCGACCCCCAGAAGCTCAAAGAGCTGGAAAAGTATGCTGCTTTATTCCCAGAATCAAACGTTTGTTCACCTTGACTGACTTTGCCCACCAGACAAGTACCGACTCTGTCGCTCGTTCTCCTCACCCATGCGACCGTCTCCCACCTTGGCGCATTCGCTCATTGCTGCAAGCACCTTCCATTATTTACGCGCATCCCCGTCTATGCGACGACACCCGTCATCTCCCTGGGAAGGACACTTCTGCACGAGCTCTATGCAGCCACACCGCTCGCCGCTACTACGATACCCAAGTCGTCCCTGAATGAAGTCTCGTATTCCTACAATGCCCAGGATGCGGCAACAGAATCGAACATCCTGCTGCAGCCACCTACACATGAGGAGATTTCAAAATACTTTTCATTGATTAACCCGCTCAAATACCTCCAGCCGCACCAGCCGCTAGGCTCGCCATTTTCACCGCCTCTCAATGGCCTATCGATTACCGCATACAACTCGGGCAGCACTCTGGGCGGAACTATTTGGCATATACAACATGGCCTCGAATCCATCGTGTACGCTGTGGACTGGAACCAGGGCCGTGAAAACGTATACGCGGGCGCAGCCTGGCTAGGTGGTGCTGGCGGCGGTGGTACCGAAGTCATTGAATCATTGCGGAAACCGACCGCCCTCGTCTGCAGCAGCAAAGGAGCAACAAAGTCATCACTACCGAGGGCGAAGCGAGACGAGCCCCTGCTCGAGACGATAGAAAGGTGTGTCACCAATGGAGGCACGGTGCTTATACCTGTGGATTCGGGCGCAAGAGTCTTGGAGTTGGCCTACCTTCTCGAACACGCATGGCGACGACATGCTTCCAGCAATGATGGTAAACTTCATGCTGCCGAACTGTATCTTGCTGGCCGAAGCATACATAGCACTATGCGATATGCTCGTAGTATGCTGGAATGGATGGACGAGCGAATTGTACAAGAGTTTGAAGAGGTTGCAGATGGGGCTAAGAAAACCAACGGACCGGCCGACAACGCGAACCAAGCCAAACAGGGAGGACCGTTTGATTTCAGATACTTGAAGCTACTTGACAGAAAAGGTCAAGTCGACAAGATGCTTGCTAAAGCAAACGGCGAAGGGTCAGTTGGTAGAGTCATACTGGCTAGCGACGCGAGCCTAGAATGGGGGTTCTCGAGAAATGCTTTCAAAGCGCTGGTGCAAGACCCCAAGAACCTGTTGGTTCTCACTGGGCTCCCCTCTCCGCCTGCTGACGGATCTACAACCATGTCTAGCATCTTTCACAAATGGTGGAAAACTGCAGTTGAGGAGAATGGGAAGCATGGCGTTGATGCCGTTGGAACAGGTATCGGGGTGGATGGAGCGCTGATCCAAGTCCCAGGCGACGGGCGGGAGGCAACACTGCGAAATGTTCAAAAGGAGCCACTTGAAGGCGACGATCTTGCAGTTTACAGGTTTTGGCTTGCACAACAGCGTCAGTTGCAAGATACACTGCAAACGGGCGGCACCGAAACACTTGATACAGGCCTTGACATTGATGATGCTTCTTCAGAATCCTCGTCCGAGTCTGGAGACTCTGAAACACACCAACAGGGCAAAGTCCTTAATGTTGCTGCCACACTGGGTAGGGCCACTCGAAAGAAGGCTGCTCTGGCTGATGAGGACCTCGGCCCTAACATTCTACTAAAGAAGAAGGGCGTCTATGATTATGACCTTCGCGGCAAGAATGGTCGCGACGCCATGTTTCCTTACCCGGTCCAGAGGAAACGAACGGACGACTATGGCGATCTCATTCGCCTCGAAGACTTCCTGAAGACTGATGAGCAGCAAGAGGAAGCAATGGCCGGAGACGAGGATGGTAAACAGGAATCTCAAGACAATCTTGGCAAGAAGCGCAAGTGGGCCGACTCTGCTGGCAACGCTGGTTCAACCTCAGGGACCGACAAGCGACCGAAGCTGGAGCGCAATATGTCAGACGATTTCGAGCTGTCTGTGGTCGATGGCCCCATGAACAATGACCTGGACGATGTGCCAGACGATGAAGAGGACCAGGAGGAATCTTCCACGGGACCATTCCGGCTCAGTATCACAACGGAACAAATTGCTGTCGCCCTGGGCATAACTTTTATCGATTTTAGTGGTATACACGACAAGCGAAGTCTCCATATGCTTATTCCTCTCATCCAACCTCGGAAGCTGGTGCTTACCGGCGGTAGCGCCTCGGAGACAGATGACCTATCAGTAGAGCTGCCGAAACTATTCCAATCTCAGATTGATATCTTTATGCCAGATGTGGGCGCAACAGTTGACGCTTCGGCGGATACCAACGCCTACACAGTCAGCCTAGCACCTGCCCTTGTAAAGGGCCTCAAATGGCAAGACGTCGGAGGTGTCAAGATTGCCACACTGGTTGGCCGACTGTCTGTGGCTGACGAAGCGAAGAACCCCATCCTCGATATGCCTGCCGCTCTTACAACCGGGCTGACTGCAACACACTCTGTTACTCCCTTCCACGTAGGAGATCTTCGACTGGCAAATCTGAGAAAGGATCTTAGGGATAGTGGATACACGACAGAATTCATGGGAGAAGGTACACTATTGGTACAGAACTCAGTCATAGTCCGCAAAGCCGCTACTGCTGGTCGCATCACTGTTGAGGCGGCAGGCTGGGAAACTGATACGGTGCAAATCGTGAGAAAGAAAGTGTATGATAAGCTAGCTGTTCTCGCCAGCTAAAAGGCTAGCTTTCGCTGGGTACTAATTCACCTATTTATATATATATTCCAATATTAGAGAACGTGCCATCATAAAGTTTTCTTGTTCAGTCATTTCTGTGAAGCTGAAGCTGTTTATGGCATCCATCCTAAATATGAAGACTGTGACGCAAGACTGGAAGTTTTGGACATAATTTATCCAGTTCATCGAGAAACTAACTCATCGTAACAATTAAGAGTCTGAATTGAAATAAATCTTTTCCTGGCTCTCATTCCTCTGCCCCAAACCCATGCTCATCCTCATCCATCGTATGGTCCCATTCGCCTCTAATCAACGCCAACCGACTTGCTCGCGACCTGGAATTACCAGCACTAGCACCAGCAATCGAATCCACACCCCAATAACCAGAAGCATCCTTGTTCCCCAACTTTCTGGAAGCGACGCCAAGTGCGGAGAAATTATGCCTGGTCGGGGTAAATCGACACGAGCCAGATGCTCGGGTATGATGTGATGTGCTTGGCATCCATGATTGCGTGAATTGGAGCCACTACAAAATCCAGGAGTCTCCGCTATTTTTGTTTAATGTGATCGCTTGCGATACTCGTGCCGTCTAGCGATTCGGATTCATCTCATCAATTAAGGCAGAATAGTAGTCCCGCACCAATATGCGCTCATCAATTGCATTGAGCTTGCTGGTCGCCAGCTCGGCAGCAGTGGCGAAATACATTGTCCCTGGTGCTCGGTGGCTCGACACAGATGGTGAGCTCGTCAACGCTCATGCGGGTGTGGTGTTGTTTGATGAGAATACCGAAAAGTTCTGGCTTTTTGGAGAGTACAAGATCCAAAATGCCACAGAGGGGGCAGGAGTTGCGGTATACAGCTCTGACGACTTGGCAACGTGGGAGAACCATGGCCTGGCTCTAGGTGAATTGCAACCTTTCAGATATTTTGTACCAATATGAAGTGCCGAAAATAAAACTGACAAATACTCATCCCTAGAACCAATTGAAGGTCACCCGTACATCTCGCCAAGCAACATTATCCAAAGACCAAAAGTCGTTTATTCAAATTCGAGTCAAGAGTATCACATGCACTGGCACGCGGATAATTCAAGTTATGGTCTGCTTCTCCAAGGATACGCCACGGCGCCTACCATTCAGGTGCGTCAGCAACTCTTCGTAAATTGCAATAGGATCTAAGTTGTAAAAAAACAGGGGCCATACACCTTTGTCAATGCGACGGCGCCACTGGGGAACTGGTCGCAGGATTTTGGCCTATTCACAGACTACAAGGACGGGCGATCCTATGCCCTGTACTCGAATGGAGATAGTCTGTACGGGCGAGATGTTTACGTCACGAGATATGATGAGGACAAGGCCGAGCTCGAAGAAGTCGTCCACCGTTTCCCAAAGTATGATCTCGAAGCACCGTCAATTGTACAGACCGAGGATAGCTACTACGCCATAATGAGCCACAAGACGGGCTATCGACCCAACAATGTCGTGGCTTTTCGGGCAGATTCACTGTCTGGGCCATGGTCACAGCCATGGATCATAAACCCGCTCAACACCCGTGGCTTGAACAGCCAAAGCGGTAATACACTACGCATTGTCGGGTCAAAGCAGACCACATACCTCTACATTGGTGATCAGGTAAGATGTTCCATCGAGAGTCACGATTGAGTTGCTTTTTGCTACATACTAATTTGACGGGGAAATTTCTAGTGGGACTCGAACTCTCTTTGGGAAAGTCGATATATCTGGCTACCACTGAATATTGACGACTCGAAAAAGCACCTTAGCATCGAATGGTATGATGTTTATGATCTAGACGTCAAGACAGGCGAGTGGTCCGTTGTCGAAGGTAAAACGTATTATAGCAAGAATGCACTGGCTTCTGGTAATGCCTATCACCAGGAGGCCAACTTTGGCAGTAATGGTGTGATTGCTACTGGCATCTATGGAAATGACAGTACCGTTACTTTCACCAACATTGAGGGTACCGGTAAGCCGCAATGGGTATCGTTCTACTATCAGAGTGAGTGTTGTCTCTAAACTTACTTAATGCCTAGCCAATCATTCGTGCATCCAAGCTAATTCCATGCGATAGACACCGATGACATGGGTTTTGGAGACCAACCAGGCGGCTCACCCGATCGAATTGGTGGATCATGGCAGTTGCGCCGAATCAGCAGCGTTGTGGTCAACGGCAACACGCAAAATCTCGAAACCTTGTTCCAAAGAGACACTCACAAGGGCATCATTTTGTCCACGCCACTGCAATTGACCTTGAATCGAGGCTGGAATAACTCCATCACCGTGGGAGGGCTGTTGAACGGTTTCGATTACAAGGGTGCTGATTTGGACAGGATCGTGGTGTATCCTCCAGAGCAATAATTAGTAGGCATCAAGTACCAGATCGCATGAATATACAGTCTTGAGATATTCCTGGGCAGTCGGTATACGGCCTGAGTACTCTTCAATCCCAACTCAACACATTATGTGTTGAATATCGTATTGTTGCTGCCACCATGCGATACTGTCAACCGTGTTGGCTCTGAACCCTTGGTACTTGACGCACAACGCCGGATGCTTGGCCTTTTGGACACTTGAGTCCAAGTGATTGGGCAGTGGTAGTTGACATACAAAGCCTCCAGACAGCTTGTCTTGATTTCAGAGATTTGTATCCCATCAGTCTTTTGCGCAATCGTCTTCCAATTGGCCAAACAAAACCTCCCTCTGAAAGGGTTTCTGGCAGTCTCACCCATTGTTTGTCGTTTAGTGTTGTTTGTGGCGCCGCTGACTGTCCTGCTAGTCACCCATTGACTGGTTTAGCTGCTGTAGCATGGCAATTCACTATCTATAAATGGACCAATATCCCGCACCATGATCAGTGAATTCCTTATTCTTTACCAATTAGAAAATCCAAATTAAGCCTTGCAGTATGACTTCCACGTCGACCAAGACCACTTGCCAGACCATTAGGCGGTGTCAGCACTCAGTGAACGGCCTCTTTTCTGGGATTTAATGGCCCTGAGAAATGCATTGTGCTGCTGCAACACCTAGGATGCACCCGGTGGGGTAGGGAAGCTGCCCTAGCCGCCGCCCCTTTAGTTAGGCGTCTGCTGTTTGGCGGGCAAGCCAACTCCTCTTGCGGTTGCACACCCACTCGGATTGGGTGATACTATAAAGATTCCCTTTCCAACCCGGTGCCATCTATGTACCTCTACGAATTAGTGTTTCCTAGTGCAGCTGTCTCCACCTAGTATCATGAGTTGTGTGGTGGGCAGCCCTACCAAACTTAACCATTGTCGATCTGCCTAGCCTCTACAGGGCCGCAAACAAAGACTACTAGGTACATTACGTACCTCGCTAGCTTAGAGCGTGGAGGCAACGTCCAGTTCACCCAGTCCCACCGCAATCGTCAGCCAAGGCGACCTCGTCCGCCATTGAAGCCACATATCTGCCAAGGAGTATCGACGCGAATTCAATATGAGCTCAACGAGAAAAGAATACCTGCATTCATCTCCAACCCAAGGATAGCCAGAGTCCCCAGCCTCGAGACAACAGGGCACCACGAAAACATGGCCAGCAGAAAACTGGTCAAGAACAGTGCATAGTCCCAAGATATCACTATTACCGAGACGGAAATAGTTCTTTTGACTTCGTTGGCAATGTCAGTGGTGCAGTTACTGTACAATCACAGATGTAGCAAAGATACGGATTATGCCACTGAGAAGCCGCTTTATTCGTGCCGACAAATCAACTGAAGACAAGAGGCATGAGTATTACATCTTTGTTGCCGCTGGCCAGCTGGTGAGTGTCAATTTACTGCATTCCATCCTGTACGCCGTCATTGTGAGCGACCACATTGCTGACAAACTTTGAAATAGTCCAAGTATTCGCTACGACCGATAGCATCTCAGCCTATGGACAAGGATGTATAGGAAGGTTATGTCCAGGAACCCGATGTTCTTGGAAGCGGAGCGTTAGGTGATCTGGTCATCAAGTTTCAAAACCCCGAATCTTGCGAGGATTTCCAAGCCTTCGACAACTTTGAGCAAGGTGGCGACTATTGGGACAAGATTTATATCTCTTTCGACAATGGCCCCAGTATTGCGAGGCGGAGAGTGGCTCTGGTTGGAGGTTTTTGTGGCTTCAATGCTTCACGAGGAGATACCCTAGCAGAGATCGACTTTGCAAGGTTTGTCGGCTATGAAAACGCGGAGATCGGTAGAGTGACAGCACAGGTATGTTGAAGAAACAACAGAAGCCTGCCATTGGAATCGCCGGTACGATGTACGGAGATCCAATGGTCCTTGTACACATGGTCGAGAAGGCCAGGTCGTTATATTCGTGCTGGTTGTTGATCGGTACACCGGATCTGGGTTTGTGCGTGAGAGCCCCCGGTTTTGCGTCGGCATCAGCCGCCACGTAAGCGATTCGCCGAAACAGCGTCCCTTGGACACAGCCATCTGGCGCAACAGTTGAAGATTTGGATCGATAAGCGGTATAGTTCTACATCCTTGGACGACATATCCTGGCCTGTGTTTCTCAGTTGCGAATACTCGAAAGCCGACGTTCTGAAGATCTCGAGATTCAATGACATCCAAAACGCTGTCGCTATGACGCGGCGTTATCATCGCACCGTATAAGGCCAACGTCGACTCCTTTAGAGGATGCACTGTTACTGAATAATATGCAGAGCAAATTCCCGTCAGTCACCAACTCTTCTCATGGCCGCGAAGAGCAGGTCTTCATAATGATTCTGTAAAAAATGCAATCTAGAAAATAAAGTGCTAGACTAAAAGAAATATGAGAGAAAAAGAGAGGGAAAATGTCAAAGAAGAGGAAGGAAGAAAAAACAGACATGGAAAGAAAATTATATAAGCTTCTTATCAGCTCATCTTCATCACTTCCCCATCCTTACATCTAGAGGCTCCCAGCGAGGGCAACCAAGACATAATGTCTCGCATAGACCAAAAGAACAGAAATCGTGAATATATAGCAGTAAAGGCAACAGACATGGTCAGGCAAGACCTTTCGGAATGCAATGACAATTTGCTCTTCAGTTTAGAGCAGCTCGCAGCTCCGCTTGCGCTTCATCTACATTAATGGCCAAGAAAGTCTCCCGAATGGTCGTGCGGGTGATGCGACTTGATGTTGGGTGCGTCAAAGGACGGCAGCCTGGACGACGATAAGGGTAAAGTTTTGAGTTGGTGCGAATAAGGCCCGGTGAATGCAAAAGGTGGCGCAGGGACTGGCCACCAAGATGGATCAAGTGTCGCAATGGTTGCGTGTCTGGGTCGGTGCTGGCAATCGCACGAGCATGGCTTCCGTCGAATCGATATTATGGAGAACGTCCCACAGCACCCCTACCATTCGTATCTACCGACCCCGCCGCCACGATCAGTACCCTTTGTTCATGCTCACAATTCCCATGTCCCGTCGCAGCCTGTCTCTTCATATCCTTCGCCCGGAGTGGTCGATCAGAACTAAACAATGGCTTACAACGTGCATGACTCTTGGCCCTCCGACATCAGAGATGCAGTCACCCAACCCCTTGTGACGGAGGACTTCTTACCGGCTTTGACGGTAAACTCTGAATTGGACACGCATCAAGTCACCGGGAGCTCCATCTTTGCCCCTGGAACCGTGACCGACTCGAATGGGAGGACTTATCAGGGTTACCGTGAAGGCAAATACTTTCTTCCTAACGATCCGGCATGTACAACTCCGCTCCAAAACACCGAAACTGAAGACTGATTCTACACACGATTAGGCAGAGCAAGACCGCTTAGACTTTCAAAGTGCTGGGACAATGGTACTTCTCAATGGGGAATTAGCGCTGGCGCCTATTCAATCTCCCAAAAGAGTCTTAGATGTTGCTACTGTACGTTGTGGCCATAGTTAAGTGTCTGCCGAGAGGTCAGAACTCACGTCGAGATCAGAATCCATATGCCAGGATCTTACTTGTGTCCACTGAGAGATCCGAGAATTCTAATTATTGAACCTACAGGGAACCGGCATCTGGGCTTTGGAATTCGCACAGCAGCACCCCGAGAGTGAGGTGATAGGAAGCGACTTGACGCAAATTCAGCCGACATCCGAGCTTCCCAATCTCAGCTTTGTTCAAGAAGACTCAGAGGAGCAGTGGATACACGATCGCCCCTTTGATTACATTCACTTCCGTTATGTCTACACATGCTTCGACAGTCCCCAGACTGTCATCAAACTCGCCTGGGAGAACCTAGCACCTGGTGGGTTCATTGAGTTTCAAGATGCCACAATGGAACTGCACTCCAACAAAGGTCCTGCCCACATTGAGAATAATCCTCTGAAAAGACTGTTTGACCTAGCAATCCAGGGAGCAGCTGCACAGGGCAGAAATATTGTCGTCTCCAGGTTCTACAAGCAGTGGTTGTTGGAAGCTGGATTTGTCGATGTTGTCGAGATCAAACTCGCAGTTCCCATCAATGAGTGGCATCCAAGTATGAGACTCAAACGAGTCGGTCAGTATTCAAGCCGCATGCTGATTGACAACCTTGGGGGAGTCGCCTGGAAAATGCTTTCGGTGTACGGGCTATCTGACGAGGAAATCAACGAGACGGTTGTGCAGGCTAAACCCGAGCTTCGCAATTTGGATCTCGAGGCTTTCTTCCCCTTGTAGGTCATATTCCCTGAATGTGCCATGTCGAATTCATGCTGACTCTATTTAGCTGGGTTGTCTATGGACGGAAGCCCGAATGATTGCAGTATGTGCAGAAGAACATAGATTTTGATCTAGTTACCTCGAATCGTCATTGTGGTGAACTTTTTATCTTCCGCCTGATGTATATCGCTTGCCAGTCTCACTTAATGCAAACTCCACTGCTATCGGATCGGATCTCAAAGTCATCTTAATGTCTAAGTCGTAGTGGTAGTCATCGTGGTGACCGTGGTGATCTTCAGTGTCGTCAAAGACTGCGTTGTCTTCATTGTAGTGATTCCATCAACTGGTTGGGGAGACTGCAGCAATCTCAGCGCTATTTGAGAAGTAAGACTTTCCTCGCCTCTTTTTTTCTCTTGAATTTGTTTCATTTAATTTTCGTCATTTCTATTTCTTTCTTGATTTTATTCTCTATTCCCTTTTTCTGTCTCTTTTCGCAAAGCACCTCGCTCTTCCGTTTCCCCAGGGTTGTCTTCTTTGTCGAATATGTTGTGATCGACTTTTACGATGTAAAAGAGAGTGTAGACGTTGCATTTAGACTTTGTAACAGACTCTTGAATGTCATCCCAGTCCATTGGAGCTCCAATGCTTGACCAGACTATCATCCTATAGCGCCAAACATCCTCTGAGATCTCTCCTCAAGATACTGCAGCTTAACGTCCACCAAGATGAGCCGTACCATTTTCAATCCCAGCTCTGATAATTGCAACTCACGACGGAGATAACCATGCAGAGTGTGGCTTCTGAAGACAACCACGGGTCAATCTTCAGATCCAGGTTTTGTGGAAGATCTCGACCAAGATTCTCGAGTAGGGCATCGACCTTTGCTCTGTACTGGTTGTCCCCTCTGAGATCCGTAGCCAAACGACTTGGCATGAGTTCGATGCTTTTTGGGCGGCTACAAGGGCGTCAAGGTCTTGAGCCGGCTGTGCCTTCGGGCGCATCCACCGAGGCATGTCTTCCGGTCTGATTTGAAATGATTTCGGAGCGTCATTCTGAGTCTTGGCCCATTTGCTCGAACGGAAACAACCCTTCTTCATGTCGTAGGTTCTAGCTGCCCACTTACTGGCACTCAACATCATGTCTGCATGGCGCAGCGGGATATACAGCCGTTTATACTATTAAAAAACCGGCTCGTCGCATTCTGGAGCTGAGAGACATGTCTTTTCATCGCTGGTGTACGGGATGGCAGGAATTTGGTATGCCTCTGCGTTGAACTCGTTCCTCCGGTCCCTACTGTAAGACTCAAAGCGATTCTGTGATCGCCCAGAAAGATCTTCCAAGCCATCCAGGACGTCGAGACTGTTTGCAAGACTGTGCTTCAAGGTCACAAGCATAGATGCCAGATGCTTGACACGAACTTCCTCGCTGTCACCCATGACCAAGGTTCCATTTGGCATAAACACCTGGCAGTGTGACTCCGAAGAAAAGCTGGTTCCAAGGGAGCTCCCGGATTTATCCTCCGTTTCTTCTTTGTTGAACAAGTCAAAGACTTGCGCCGCCTACGCCTTTGCCATGTTGTGGGTGCGAGCATGAGGCTCCTGTATCAGTGAGGCCCAGGTAGTGGCACAGAACGCCCTCTCCGACCCTGTGTAGGCCTTGATGGTAGCTTAGTTCTTGGTCGTCAGGTCGAGTGACGTGCAGTTGTCGCTTCTTCGTTTCGCTATGGTAGTGGACCGCTAGCAAGAGGATGGTGATGATGATCAAGAAGTTGATTTCGGGTATGCCAAGGGGCCTGTGTGGCGTTTATTTTGTTTTAATATTGGGCGCCTTGGAAACGGCCGCCCGGATGAAGGTGTTGATCTTCGATCTGTCTGCGCAACACTGGTCAAATCTTGATGACACGTTGGCAGTTGTTGGGTGGAAGGGGGGAGAAGAAAGCAAATGCGAAAGGAGTAAGGAATAAGAAAAATGAATGTTGCGGAGAACCAGCGCAGCTTACCTATCGAGCCGAGTGAGAATTGCGATTGCCTTAAACTTTTGAAATATTGTCAAACATACTGGATAACAGGCGTATTGCAGATTTTCAGACAACTGTGTACAGGAGCACCAGAACAATACGGTCGGTGTGGTGCTGACTTTCTCGACTTTTAGAACTGTTAGTTATTGGAAGATGTAATAGAGGCTGCTAGACATCGGCAACGGCGGGTAATGGCATCTATGTCAGAGAGAGGAAGGGAAAGCGATAAAAGTTCATCGTACCTTTGGTTGTGAGCGGCAGTATTTGCTAAAGTTGAGACTTCTGGATTCCGATCGAGTGACAGTCTGTGAAGTTTTGTTGGTGGGAGTTTGATGACAAGATAAAGGAGAGTAAAGGTCTGAAATTCGCTGGTGGTTGAAAAAATAAATCTATATAGAGGTTTACGGTTCAAGGCAGACAATAACAGGTCCGTTGTAATGCCTGTTCAGATTGTTGTTGGCTGGTGTTTAAATAGTAAGAGAAATGGGGAAATGGACACTGTTGGTATTTTTATGCTGGAGCTTTGCAATCAATACCTACCTACCTATGCAATAGACAATTTTTGTTGCTCTTTAAGAAAAGCCAGGGTTTGTTTGGAAGTTTAGTTTGAGCTGGCACCCAACGAACGCGCATTTTGATTGCGCGACTTGTGACATGGGCAAGAGCCAGTGACACCTAATAATTGCAAGCAGTGAAATGATTGTATTGGAAGCGGAAGTAAAAACCAATGTCAAGATTTGGCGATGGGTGCGTCAAGGATAGTCACCAGGATGATGTTGTCTTGGGGGTGTCATATCTAGCCGGGAGGTGAACAAAGCTTTGCTATTTGTTAGGAAATATGCCCTACACAACGCCGTGGGCGCGAGTGGCCACATCAAATCCCGACACAACAGTAACACAACACGAACGTATGAGCGCCAGGGTTCCTATGGCAATGACAACTTTACTACTGTCGAGAATGAAACAGGAGCAGAATATTGGAAGGTCATACTGACTTGCGCCCATCCCATATTCTGCTTCCCTAAACCATGGCACAAGAAATTCTCTACTGACTGACACGAATTTGATAGAAGGGCAGGTTGGGGCACAAGTCCCTCGGCTGGCACATTCAAGCTTCCAACCACCGACGCACTAGAAGCCGTTCGAATATACCGCAGCGCTCGGGGTGGCTTTGGCCGATTCCTCGAATTCATTTTCAAATTGCTACAATCCACCGGTCTGGTCTGTATATGTATCGACCCATTGAAGAGGAACATACCCACGATTGGATAGAATGCTACAACTTCCATGTGGGTCCAAAGGACGTCAACAAGCTCGACGCCAGTGGCCACCAGAGTTACATTAAACAAGAAGAAGGCATTTTTTGGTCACAACGACGAGCCTTGGGCCACTGGGTATGATCAATCGGGATCATTATCAAAACAGTCTATATGAGCTCATGACAAGTGAACCGGCACACAACACCTCACCACCTCCATCCGCTTGAAGCCAACAGCATGGCACTGCCTCAGCCGGAACTTATTGCAAATTTATCGTGAGAAGTTGTTGACTATGAGTCGAATGCAAGTTTTTCATAAGGAGTTAACTGTAAGCTGACTAAAGGCTTCTCGTGTACAGTTGCTGTCAACACATTTCTATCCTGAAGGCCGCCTCGGGGGCGTCGGATGAGCATCACAAGATCGTCAAGATTCTTTCCACCGAAAATGTCAAAAATTGAAAATAATTTTCAGAGGATGTTCTAGTATCGATCTCGCCTTTCGGCGGTGGCTCTGAAAAAACCTTTACCAAGTTGGCTGGGTCCGCGACACGATCAAGAGTGACATTATAGCCATACTAGACAACAGGCAGTTAGTAAAGGGAAAGGGACCAATGGTAAGGATGAGAAGAGGATAATGACTCACAAGCTCTTCGGATGCAATAACTAGAATGGCTTTCCGTTCCCAGCGGGCTCGGCAAGATGTTTTTCGTATTGGCCCAATCCTAAGCGTGCCTGGGAGAGTTGATATTATTTAGAGAAGACTTTTGGCAAAAAGGCAAAAGGCAAAAGGCAAAAGGAAGTCTGTTCGCCTGTCGCCGAGTGGGCATACATAGTTGGGATCGCCAGTTTCTCCTTCTAAAGCAGTCTCGACAGTGTCTTCGGTTCTGTTGTTGAGTCCACGGTCGGTCAAGAGGATATGAAACTCTTTCTAAAGGCAGATCTGGCGCAACGTACGACCACCGCCGAGGTTGGTACCGTTGTTGATATAACCATAATCTCACCTGAGCCAATACGTGAAGGGAAACTGAAGACGGGATGATCGAGAAAGCATTGAAGGATATCTGAGTTGGCCTTTAGTCCATAAAAGAGAGGCGTTGAGAGGCGAACTTTATACCCACGCATGTGGGCTGCTGTGTATACTGACTACGTCAGTACGACACATCGACAAGAGTTCTTTCGCCTTTGAAAGCCGTACCGAGCTGTTTATTGGTTTCTCGTGATCTTTTAGATTGTCGTTGAGCTTGATATGCATCACAGACATCTTCTTGTTTCGGTCTAGTGCAGTCCTGAACAGGATTCGGTGCAGGTCATCGGGACCTGTTGGCAAAGAGCCGGTGGTTGGGCGCAAACACTGCTGAGGATTCTCCTTGTTCTTATTGTTCGGTCCGAGAGCAAATGAGGTAAAGTCGATCTCAGCTCTAGGAAGACTTATGGAGATACAAATGCAAGGGCGACTGATGGTCGTTCTGGGACTTATCACAGCTGTCATGTCGATATGGCCGGCCAAGAATTTGTGGAAGCCATTGTTAATTTGCTCTTCAGCCTAGAGCAGGCTGAACGGCTTGGTCTTCTTCGCGTTTGGGCGCTTCTTTTTGTCCTTGGGCCCCGGCTTGAGACCCTTTTCGGGGGCCATGTTGAAAGCGTTCGACAAAGCCGTTGGGATGATAGTGATGTTGATTTGATTTGTTGCTGGATAGGTCGAGGGCTGTTACCCGGATGAGGGTGATGGACAAGTCTGGAGCTGGCACAGCAAGACTGGAACTGTAAGGCCAGTGCCTTGATGGTGAGTAGCACTGACGACACGTAAACAATAGGAAACGAGCATCTGGTTGGAAACGATCATGTCAACTAGCTACAGGCCACAAGACTGATAATGATCAGGCGTTGGTGATCTTCTCAATCTGACTGTGGCAACACGTAGCAAAAGTGATGAAAAGACTAGGCCAAAAGCTGGTAGCAGCCAAAAGAGGGCGGGAAGCTGTAGTAGCAGCGGGGGGGAATAGGCACTACCTTAGTAGTATCTGATACCTGGTGTGGTGCCTAGCACCTAATTATAGGTATTTAGGTAGGTAGTAATCAAGGCTGCAAATTCCCCAAGCATCAAATTGTAAAGATTTCAAGTGAGCTATGTGACTGGAAGTAGACTGTTGAAATAGTATACAATGAAAAAGAGGGACACATCTATGCTGTAAGCATTCATAGAGGCAAGCTTGATGTGAAGATTGACAGGTTCGCGTTCTGGTGCGCATCAGCGAGTCCCGCTTCACCAACGCGTCGGCTATCAGACCTACTCTGCCGGCTCAAATCCATGATGCAAGAACTTTTGGAGCCCTGCAATTTTATCGTTACACTCTAGGTATCCCTAGTACATACTGTGAGTCACGGAAAAGATGAAGAGAAAAGCCCTGAGCTCGCAATGGGGATTGATGCGGTGAACCAAGCGCGCCGGTAAGGGGTAATGGTGCAGGTGTACATAGAGAATCACAAAGAAGAGGAGTGATATGTACTAACGTGATCTTTAGCATGACACCGATTGTTGCAACCACTCATCTCTTTTGCCCCAAGCTCGTCATCACATCCGATTCTCGTGTATCCAATTCGTCTTGAGGCTGTCAGAATGCGAGCATTGGCTCTGCTGGTGTCTCAACCCTGCTATCAGTGGCCTTGTACGATTTTCATGCTAGTTTGATTCCCGGCCCAAGTTGGGAATACAGCTCCTCTACTGTTATGACATATTGCCGGCCAATGACAGCAGTCTGCTGGTCAAGTCATACAGAATTGCAATGAACCGTTTTATTCATCTGAATATGTCTTTCCTGGAGGATTATTACATCCCCTGGCTAAATGACATGATGTCACTTTTCGAGCGAGTATCTTACATGTGTATCGTCCCGTTCTTGTCAACAGCATTGGAAGTTTCCGTCTCCACCTCAGTCAGAACCTCCCTCATCCCTGTCGTCGGATACTCCGCCGTTGGTTTGATTCGAGTCTCCGAATTGACCATTGGCGCGCTCGGTCGTATGATAGTGGACGCCGTATAGATGATACTCGTAATCGAAGATTGGCTCGTTTACCAGTGTGGCACCGCTGGGGCACAGGGCAAAATCCTTGATGCTATGACAAAGAGCTCAGGTTTGTCGGGATCCAGGCAAGAATAAAGAATGTCGGACATTTCCATGCAGTATTGCGGTCTTTCGTCGAACTCTACAGGCACATGTATGAAGTTTTGGATTATACAAAGAGCGTTCCTGGGACATCCACTTTCGATTGCTGTTCTCAGCAACCATAGGTCTTGAAGGGAGGGTTCTAGAGATCCGTCATATTTATCAACGTTATACGCATCTCGTTGTCTCATCTCCCAATGACGGTGCATACGCTCTTCAGAGCAGAGGAGGTCCAAAATGCTCTCGTTCCCTTCGAATGTCGCTGCCAGGAATAAGGCTGAGGGCAAGGTACCGATACGTGGTTCGGCGATACCAGCCCTGAAGAGTGCTTTCAAGACAGGCTGCATGTTGGCAACAACAGCTAAGGCGTAAGGGCTCGGAAGATGAGCACCGGATAACATCCATTGGGGAGTTCTTTTTCTCGTGCCGGGGAACCTATTCCTTTCCCAGTCAGCTGTAATTTCCCAGTGAGTTGTCACTTCCAAGTCGGCTATCGCGGTGAAGCTCATGAGGTAGGTGGCTAGTTCTTCATGTCCCCCGAGAATTGCGATTGTGAAAGGATTGAGTGTCATGGAATTGGCGGTGAGATCTTCAAACACGCGACCAAGAAGGTGTTTTCTGGTGACTTGGTCCAGGTTCAGATGAGGCACTACGACGTAGGCGTCAATATAGCAACCCATATCATGAAGAAACTTGACGACATCGATGTGACCTTTGCTGGAAGCTAGCAATAGTGGTGAATAGCCCTCCGGGTCTTTTGTATCGATGTATTGCGGCCATAACGGCAAGGCTAGGTTGGAAATCCTAGAAACGAGACCTGCGTCTCCTCGTTGTGCTGCTGCGTGGAAGGGCCCGCGGAGAATATGGTGCCTAGTCTCGCACCACTCGAAATGGCGACACATGGCATTGATCGATACGTTCCTCATTCTACAACGACAGTGCGGTCGAGCTGATGGAAGATCTCGTGCGAGGAGGATGTCGGCAATGTATATCTCGTTTTCTAGCAACTCCCAAAGAGTTTCGCAGGTTGTGGCAAGGGAGAAGAGGTCTAATTTTACATCACATGTCAGTTACACGTATTCAAACTTGTCCCTTGTGCACAAGCTGACAAGGAGTGGAGGCACATACCTCGAGGATCATGGATATGGTTTCTGCCAACACGCCACAGCACGTCCATGGAGATGCCCATTTTGCTGGGAGCTTGTTCAGGGGCCTACGAAATCGTAAGTATTGTTTCTTTTCCTCTGAGTGTCTGACATGTCGCTCTCAAATTCAAGCTAAGGAGAGAGAGAGAGAGAGAAGAGGGAGGGGGGGGGGAGGGGGATCTCTCATTGACGCGCAAATGGAAAGCACTGAAGTTGCGCAGAGGATAGCGAAACATACCTGCATCGTGAATGGCAGCGTTGGAGAACTTTTAGTGATCAAACACTTGGCTTTGGGATGCAATCTAGGAGAATTCAGGCTTGACTGCGCCCAAACCAAGACGATTCAGAGGAATTGAAGTGTTTGATTTGCAGTCAATAGCTCCAAGAAGTTGAGAATCGATGTGGCGTGAAATGGGGTCGATAAAAGGAAGAGATTGTTGGATGTATCAGGTGGCACAAACAAACGGTATGATTAGGGCCGGCGACGGTGAGGGGCAATCGCGACGTGCCTGTTGCGCGCCACCCATTGAATGTTCCGGTCCAATGGTCAAGGTGGAGGAATTGCCAACCAGAAATAAAAACGCCCGAAACCCTGCACGCGGCGTGACAAATCGGCTGCGCCAGGCAAGAGAAGTCTTGACTCTCACAATAATGACCCAACGCAGTCACATCCATGTAAGGCTGCCAAGGCCACTATCTAATTCTCACTGAGTGTGGCAAACGATGGTGCTCACTTGAGCACGTGTCCTTGCCATATTGATCGGCTCAACTAAGGCGCCTTGGTGACCTCCTCCAATGACAAGAAATCAGTTAGCCATTTTTGTAAGAAAGTCGCGGTTGACTACATGGAGCAAGCTTATTCTCATGGACACATCTCTCCAGATAGCTGCAACAAAACATCCAGTCACCAGCTTGTCTCAATCTGCCCGAAGGGCGTCAGCAGAGAACAGACTAGAAGTGTTGGTGTTGCTACATTAATATGACGGTCCTTGGGAAGCCTTTTCTGTTATGTCCATCTAGTGTACGATGTTAGATTGCCCTTTCGTATAAGCGCTACGAGTGAAACTTTAAATACAAATGTTCAGGTCATCTGCAATGACCATTACATACTTGAGCCTTTCCAATTCGTATTAACAGTCTTCTCCGTCACCGATGTGTTTAATCTATTCAGAAATGTAACAGGGTCTTCTGGCATGTGTACCAAGCCAAATATATCCTCAGAATCAGTTAAAGCTTTACGGTGAACGAATGGAGCTTTTGTATCATGAGTCGAGTCATGAAATCCGTGTATTTATTTGTCTTGACACCAACCTTCTCGGATGCGAGCAGGATTCGAACGTCGAACAATCGTATATATAAAGAACTCTCCAGACTAGTGGAAGCCTCTGATCTTGAACATACACCGGTATCAGACTATCCGATTGTCAAGCATTACATTGCGGTACAGGCCAAGATGTGCTGGGAATGTGATATTCACAAATGGAAAATATCTCTTTCGGTCCCCAAGGTCCACTACATCCCATCAGATGTAGTACGCCTTATGTAGGTGATTATCTTCGACTTCGCACACGTGGAACCTTTCCAGTCCGGCTACATTAGCACTTGCTCATTCTGCTTGCCTTCATACAAGGCCGCGGTGACAGTAAGCCCACTCAAGAAGAGTCCAATGGCAACCTTTGTGAGACGTGAATAGTCTTGTTCGCCCGAGTATAAATTGTCACACAAAACACTCATCATGGACATCATTTTAGGTAGCCTAGTCGCAACTGTTACTTTGCACCTATATATCATGCGGCCTGTCTAGTCTATGCTTCTCGTACAACATTGAAGCTGGTGGACTTGCTCAGCATGATTTCTGTAGAATAGACAGTAATAATGCTAGAATTCGTCACGAATGAAGTGATTCAGTATGTTATTGCAAAGCCTGCAGCGTTGTCCGGGGTCAAGTCTTGTACTTTTGGCTAGTGTCAAGTGATGCCAAATACAACTACATTCATTTTTACGAAAGAACTGTTTATGCACGAATTAAGGCAAGATTGCGTGCAATAATGCTCCTTACTGATACAACCAGTATCTAAAATGAAGAATGAATTGAAAGATGGTCTACATCTACCAAAATAATGTGTGTATAAACAAACTTAGTAACCCTTCCCGTTGTGTCACGCGGAGGTTTCCACAACCAGCCACACTGTGGCGCATGACTTACATTTAGTTTGGAGTTTATCCGAATATTTTCTGGCATTGAAATTCATAAATACTGGATACGTACCAGTAGTGTGCAAGGGATGATATTAGTCAGCTGATCAGATATCTGACATTTCAAACTTACCCGAGAGTATCAGCTCAATGCTAATGCATGTTATCATTGAATGGTACCAGGAAGCACTTCTGTTGCTATAAGCATCACATTTTCCAGTTCAGTCATAGACTTGGGATTCGAAAAGAGAAAACGCAACGTTGCACCTTCTTAGCTTTCTCATTTCGTTAAATGTGGCGATCCTCATCGCCAGCTCCATATCCATTGAGAAACACTGTGTTGCAGCTGATACGTACAATTTTTGGATCCAACATTGTTCACAAACAATGGTGTACCCGTACGTACATACCCGAATCATGCACACTAGCTCCAATCATCGGCAACATGAGGAATATTTGTCGTTGGACATGGCTCTACCATTCGGCATCGAGTATTAACCTTTTTGCCGTGCCTCTGTCACAACTCCTATCGTTCTGAACCTCGCCCTTGGCATTGTGAGCCGCCGACGCAAGGTTCCGACTTCTCGTCTAGATTCTGATCAAACAGCACGAAGGTACGAAGTCGTTTTCACTCTATTTACCCTCAGCCAATATTTTGCATCCCAACTCTCCGTGGCTGCTATTGCGGCTGGAAAATTCGGCCGCCCGCTGTTTTTGCCAGCTGCCTGCGCCGCCGGCTGGCTTTTCGAGTTGCGCGCGGCCTATAAACTGTGGGCCCACTCATTGCGAACTAGGAGGTACTTACTATGTAGGCTAATGTAGTACATACTGTGATGTAGGTTGACTTAAATGCAGCCAATCCCACACAACCCTTTCAAGAACTCGTTACCACACACTTTCGAAAAGCGCATTTCATACCAAGCATACCCAGCCGCATCCTGCACAGCTCCTGTTACCAACAGAGTGCTAATCTGAGCAATTCACCAATTTTCTGTCAGCATACAAATTTGGTCTGGCTGTGTACAGTAAGGTCCACGCGTCGTCTCGCAGGTAAGATTCCGTCCTCCTCACTTGGCTAATTTCTCCTACGCTTCAATAGCCTTGAAATATGCCCGAGGTAAGGTATTTTGTTGCCCCACGCCGCACTAATTCCCCTCTAAACATTCCAGCTTTTGTCATTTCTGCACCCCACCGCGTCTGGCTGCAATCGCAGGCAGCAGTGCTAAAGCAACTGTTATACAATTAATCGTTATATACATTGTTTCTCCCTCCTCAAAACTTCAGATTTGCCAGCTTCAGCAGGAACGGCAAATAGCTGCTACATGTGAAGAACAACTCGATCGCCTGTAAACTGCGAATAGCAATCCATATACCTGTCAACTGCAATCAGAAGATTTATTTGCCGTAAGTCGTCAGGAACATTTTCTCTTTTCTGCATGATTCACTGACCAAACCATTTGTCAGACGAACCGTTCCACTCCTTTCGTTTTGGATTTCTTGTCTTCACCAACATATTTCTATGACACCCGCCATCGGTCAACATCAACACCCGCCATCGGTCAACATCAACACCCGCCATCGGTCAACATCAACACCCGTCATCGGCCAGTGTTCACAGCCGTCATCGGTCAACATCAACGCCCGTCATCGGCCATTGTTCACACCCGTCATCGGCCATTGTTCACACAAATCATTCCTCCCACCCTTGTAATTTGGCTTCTTGTCTTCGCCAACATTTCTTCCACTACAACCACCAATCGAACATACTTCCACGATGGCCATTGACCATTCGCAAGAGACCACCGACAAGCCTTCTGATACCGCCGTCGACCGTTCAAAAGAGATTAGTTGGGTGATGCCAGGGAAGCCATAATGCGGCGCTATGCTTTGAGCAATGGAAATTAGGTACTGCTGGAGAATCCCGGGAGAGGAAACTGGTTTAGTCAACGTAAATCAGTCGACTTCTTTACTGCAATTTTCCTGCACTTCCCGTAGCTTCTTTTCTTCCCTGTTCGTGATAATTGTCATTGCCATATAATCTAAACAAAAGCCGCTGGCGAGCACTTTGGCAGTGGTTTTTCTTGGCTACATTCAACTAACGAGCCGTCGGGCAATGCTTCTGTTTCGAAAGGTTCTACTAACAAGGTTGTGTAGGACATGCCCATTGATATGCACAATCCGTCTATTTTCGAGTCCTTTCAAGCTACCAATATTTATTACGACACTATCATCTATTTGACCGATAACTTGGAGGTGATGCAATACAGAGTTACACTTATCAACGAGCTTTTCTCATTTAATACAACACTAAGAGATGAAAGAAAGAGAAACGTGAATTTGGCAACAGGATGGAAGATAAGATGTTGGTGACCAGCTTCTAGGCAAGCCACCCCGTCATGAGCTTTTCAACGACCCCAGTCCTTCAAGGATAAGGGCCATCATCGCCACGCTGTCCCTCTGGTCATGCTGCACGACTCGTTCTACCTGGCGGATTTGTAAGACGGAATCGAGCTAGCGATATGTATTGATAGGTTGCTCGTTTGCTAGCTAAAGGGCTGTTCGAGCGGGTTTGGTGAGCAAAAGTGATATGCCTCACTGGGCTGATGGCTTGTCGTCCGGTAAGTCCAATACATAGAGTTGCTGCTGCTTTAGAAGCCTATGACTGCATCATGGAAAGCCGCAACGCTTGTCGTTGATCAGAGATCCGTTGTCTAAAAGCTTGCGACGTAACCCTCTTGATTGAGCTCTTCGTGCAGAAGATAGGCTTCAGCTGCCTGGAATCATGGTCGATTTCTGGCCTACCTCGGTCCATTAAGAGTGCTGGTCGCCCAGGTATGCTAACTGCTTGGATTGAGTGGTGATTGATGCCGGCGGGTTGTTGCCTACGTGGCTTGGACAGCGGTTCGTACCATGCGCTCCATTTGTGTCTTTACGGCGGTCTGAATGCCCCTGTCATTGGAGGGTAAGACCAGCACCTTGCTAGATGTTGCTTATCCACCTTAGCTGAGTTCGGAGTGACAGGATAGTGCTCTATCTGCCGTTTGAGCTGTGATATGCAGAATGTCTCAGGGTCTGTGGGATCATCAGAATCCAAGCACGTTGAGGGCATTGCTGCGGAACTTGGGAAGCGAAACCTCGGGTTCGTCTTGTAAGGCCAGCGCCTGGATGGTAAGTCGGGTAGCAGTGACTTCACGGAAATAACGGGAAACGAAGGTTTTAAAAGATACGGTTATGTAAGATAGCTACAGACTACGAGACTGATGATCATCAGGTGTTGATGATCCTCTCAATCTAGATGTGGCAAAGCGTAGCAAAAAGTAAAGTACAGAAGAGGGCTGAAAGCTGTAGTAGCTGCGGGGAAAATTAGTAGGTACATACCTAGGGTGGTGCCTAGGACCTAACACGTCTCTCTCTTAGATCGTCTCAAAAGCTGCCATCGAACCGAGTAGTTCCGACTTTGTAAGCCTTTGTTTGCAGTACCATCAATCTGAACAGGCCATCGAGTTCTCCATCAGCAGATGCTATTTTTCTGCAATGGTTTCCAAATACCTGGTCAGATCTTAAACAGGAGAGAGTCTTCCTCCTTGCGAAGAGAGTCCTTGGGACGGTCAAGGGCTCATATCTTAGGCTGTCGTCCTTCCATGCGTCGGCTTACCCCTTCGTATAGCTCATGTCGTGATCGTGGTCGTATCGCTGGACCGCTAACTAGTTATAACCACAGCTTTCTGTTCGTCACGATTTACCGAAACAAAGTTTTCCTGTAAACTAGGAACGCAGGTCGCTGCTGAGTGTTGCGTTGCTGCATTTGGACGTTGTCCATACTAATAGAGGTCAGCCTCGTGTACGCTGGCGCGACAGGCCGGGCAAGCGCTTGGGGCTGCATAGGGATGGTGTAGTGTGGCACCGCGGGCTGATCGAATACAGGTGAACTGTGTACGGACAGATCAAACTTATGTTGATTCTGCATCATGGTGCTGCTGGGGCTTGGAAATGGCAGGCCAAATGTGTTGGGGGGAGGGGTTGAGCCACTATGCCGATGCCCGACACGGAGGGCTGGGCTGATCCCGCTGGATAATGGCGTGTATGAAGCGGTCAAAGCCGCGCAGGGCTCTCATATTGATACAGGTTGCCTCCAGGACGCCGGGGGTAAATATTCATAGCATGTTAGATTCAGACATTGTGTTCCGTTCCACCTGGTTGCAATGGCCATAGATCTCGGTAACGTCTTGGCAAAGGTCTTTATATCGAAAACTTTCACTGTTGGAAGAGTCTCGTAAGGTTGTACCGCACCACTGCTGCTTCAATCCAAACTCACCAAGGAACATGGCTCAAAATTGTCTTCCCATGGCCAGCACCTTGCTTCTCTTGCATTGTTGTATAGTCTTCGCAGCCGTGAGAGCTGGATTTTCCTTCTGTCTGTGCATTTTTGCCTTTTCCACGTCGCCTGATTCTGTCCGTCGTATTCCTGGGGGTGGTAATTCTCTGGATTTGGTATTTATTCTTGCACATTTCTACCATTTCTTTCGATTCTGGGTTAGTAATGCCGCCGTAGTCAAGTCCCAGAGAGGTTAGTAGACATATCATTCATGTCATATCTGTGGTATGCTGCATGAATCAGTCGTGCTCGATGAATGCGTGCCTATGATCATTGCATTGGGTGGAAATCGAAAGATTGAAAGTTACAAGGCTTTGCGGAATATGTCAGAGAAGAATATCGCGTTCAAAACCAGTTGCGGTTGTCTTTAGGGGGCACAGTCCAAGTACACATGGTTATTATGCTAAAGATCAATGTCACTATTCGCAGAAATGGTCATAATCTAGCTGTTGCGTTGCCTTTGACGGTCAGTGACGGTCGCGGTCCCCAGCCTCTGCATGTTATTGTTGTGCATTTTTCTGTGCATTTCCTCGCACTCTATCATTCAGTTGGTTTGGTACGAAATAATTATTTTGCGCTCTGAGTAACCAAAGTCTGCTATCATGGCTAGCCATCGTAGACGCAATCAATCGGATCCAAAAGAGTGTTCCCATTGAGCCCCGATGAAAGGCTGACCTGCAATGAGATGGCCAGGACCCTTAGTGTAGTATGTAGGCAGAGAACAATGACTTGTAATACATCAAGCAGCTGCGCAGACCGCGCATAACAATCAAATATGCGTCCCAACGCGGTAAGTACTAGGTACCTCGGGCACCTATCTGCCAGGTGGGCAGGCAATTCAATGTTCAAGCTGCTAATCCCATTGTTCTGCCGCTCGAGAACGTCAAACAAGTGGGTCCGCACTAAATGCCAAGCTCCATTGATCTGGAGTATTTGAAGATTCCAATCCGTAGCCAAGATCCAGCTCCTCTTTCCAACAAACAACGAGTGTTGATTTCGATCACGCTCAGAATCTTACACCACCAACTCCTCCACGAGTGTTGATTTCGATCACGCTCAATAATCTTACACCACCAACTCCTCCACGAGTGTTGATTTCGATCACGCTCAATAATCTTACACCACCAACTCCTCCACGAGTGTTGATTTCGATCACGCTCACGAATCTTACACCACCAACTCCTCCACGAGTGTTGATTTCGATCATGCTCACATACCATGACCTCAAAGGTAAGAAATCTTTTTCTATTCTCATTTGGTCTACGCCTCTGGGCCCAATTTTTGCTTCACCATTTTTGTACGAGAAAAAAAAGTAGCAGATTTTGCAAACGGCAGATACGCTGTGAGCCCAACAGTGATGGTCAGCTTTTTGGGGGCCTGGCCGCGGCCGCACGGCTGCGCGGTGCGGCCCGTTAAAAGTGGACCCACTAAAAGACTATTTGGATTGACTCAATTGCAGCCAAACCCGACAACCCAAACTCCCACAACCCAAACTTTCCACAACCCAAAACCCTTACAACTCAACCGGAATTTTCCACAACTTTGACATACCCACTGCCAACAGGTACTATCCCAACTGAACCCGATCATCTGCTTTGCTGACGTTGTACTGACTAATGCGCTGTAGTTTCGGATTTTTGCAACTCTGTCGAGGCACGATTTTGACTTTGCCGTCACCAGCAAGACCAACGCGTCATCTCACAGGTAAGCTCCATTTACTCGTCGTCAAGTTTTCTCTTCTCTCAGTGGGCTTGAATCGAGCACTTTGCACTCTTACTGCTACCACTCAAACAATTTCAGTTTCAGTGCTTTGCCCCTCACTCCCAAACACAGTTCAAGGGTCTTTCCACGACAAACAAGCTGTCCCGCACCTCTCCAATAACGGCCAACAACACATTCAACTAACATCAAATTGTCAGACTTGCAACAATACACAAACTTCTTGACACTCTCTTCATTTCCTTCTTTGGTATAGATTACGATCTTGCCATTACTTT